GAGGCTTTATTAAAATGAACTGAGAACTGAAGGCACATTCATATTGTTTCCCTTTTGGAAAGCCTATTTCAGAAAGACTTATGGTTAGGATCAGAAAGAAACAGTATAGAGAATTTGACACTCACATGACAAAAGGAAACTGAGTAATTAGTAATGATAGGTATCTCTACGGCATTTCAAAAAAATAGAGCATAGTCTGATGAAAAAGATGCCAAAATTTATGAAAACAATTTTATCGTCAAAATGCTTATGTTTTTATGAAGAGGATAGACCAAATTTTTTTTAATTATTTTTCAAAATTTTTCCATCTTTTTAGAATATTCTAAATTTTGATTTAAAAAACCTTGTTTATCTTTTTTGCAATAAGGAGTACTAAATAACAGATAATTTTTAGCGTTTTTCTTGTATTATACCTATTAATTTGGAAAATCTTGCAAAAATAAAAATAATTGTCAGATGTTAATGAAACTTTCAGAAAATATTCAGATGATCGAAATTATGAATACTTTTTTGTTTTTATTAAACACCCCCATATCTAATTTTATGAAAAACTAAAAAATCCATACCATCGGTTTTTAGTGATTACAATATTTAAAGCACAAGGCTTTGAAGAATGTAAATCATGTTTTGTTTTTTAATTGACCCAGTACCTGAAAATCAGCTCTGAATTGTAACATACAAAACTCAATAAAAACAAATATACTATTTAATCTCAAACGCTTTTATTTGTTTTTATTTGTCCGTATGAATATCGACAATATTTTCTGAAAGCAAAAAATTTTTTCAATGAAAATTGAATTTTTAATACAATTATTTCTCATTTCTTTAATTTCAAATCGAAATTTTAAAACTTTTTCATTAAATTTTTTTAAAACTTATAAAAATAATTAACAGCACCATCCACCTTTGTACTTCTCTTTCTTAGCTCATCATTGTCTAGGGATTTGAGAATTGTATAATTTGGACCAATCCGATTATACCCACTAATGAAGAAATGTAATTATGTTTTGATAAAAAGCGCTTAAATGGTTTGTCATTAAAAAGTACGGAAGGTCACAAGCTATAAAACGTCACGTGGCTTGAGTGTAAGCGTAGATTTCATTTTTTATAGTATTTATTATCTTTATAGATAGTATCAACAAAGTTATGTCTTAAGTTCCAGTAATAATAAAATAACAAAATAAAGGAAATTGGAATGCTAATTTTTTGTTTTTTATTATCTACTAATTACGGGGTAGTACATAAGCTGATTCACATTTAAAAAAAAAAAAAAAAAAAAAACGTTACGTCACGTATGACCACCCGTATGATAACGCGAATCTCACGTTAGCTGTCGATATGTGATGACAGGCATCACTCAGCACTTGAAAATTCACAACGCAGTTCAGATCGCTTACTTTTTATTTCAAACAATTTTTTTTTTTTATTCGAAAAAGTAAAAGCTTCTTTCAAAATATTTTAAATAATCTTTAAATTTGCTAATTTTAGTCAAATAAATTTTGAAAAACGTTGATTTTTGGAATAATTACAAACAAGGATTTTAACTTGTTTACAAAATTAGAAAAAAATGGCTTATAGCTACTTTTTTTTAAGTAATTTTGATGACAGAAATAAACATTTTTAAATAAAATTTCGGACCTGATAAGAATGAGTAAAAAATTTTTAAAAATAGTCAAAAAATACTTTGGTGTTTCTTAAGAATGATATATATATTTAAGCCGATAAAAATTTATTACATCGTTTTTTTTTCATGCTATATTTTTTTTTAGCAATTTCGTGGAGGTACCTAAGTAATGAGTTAACTGATGGCAGAACAGGGACTGGGCAGTATAGTAGACAACCATTACTTAAACCTTCAAAGTCAAGTTAAGAGTTCTGATCACCAACTTTCTGAAGAGAGACAGCACATTATGCATATATATATATTATAAACAAACAAGATTTTTTTTTTTTAACCAAAATGTCAAACATTCTAAGGATAAAAAAATATACATCAAGAATTCAGTCAAGTTTTATTAAGTTAACTGACAAGATCAATTTGTTAAATTTATTTTGCTGTATTTTTTAAATTTCCCAATAAACAGTGGAGCAATGGATAGCAGCTTGCATTGAGGAATTTGAGAGCAGAGTGAATTCCAATCAAATCCATTACACACTTGTGTGCTAATACCATTGCCAAATGTATGAATCCTCTCCTCCCTCTACATGATCGCCTAATAGTGTATCATGCGTGGCAAATAACTGATTGATACAGGATCACACAAAAAATACATTTTAAACACAAGAAACTAATATATATATATATATATATATATATATATATATATATATATATATAAAAAAAACACAGAGCCTTGAAAATGGCTAAAGTAGCCAAAAAGCACTTGGTACAAAAAAAAAAAAAAAAAAAATGCAATTATTTTCAATGAAGCTAAAATCAATATTCATTTATAGTTTACATTCTTGACCAAAATATCAAATTAAATGACTAAACTTACAAATATTTTTTTGTTAAAGCTGAAAAAGAAGTCCTTATATTACTCTGGTCAACTCTTTTTGCAATAGTCCAAAGTTCAGTTTCATTTGAGAACTGAAAGGTTACTATAATGCACAACACTCCCATGTACATAAATATTTAAATGCAATTAGCACAGGCTTGCTAATTTACCACAGAAGTGGCTAACAACCGAAACAAATAGTCAATTTGAGACAGCACATTTGTGCTGAATTGTATTAAAGATAAGCTTAAGTTATTGATGACCTGAGCCAGTCAGCTTCACTCAAATGATGAAATAAGGAACAAGTACAAAATCTATAGATCAGAAATATTTTGCCTATTTATTTAGCTTCAGATTTTTGAAGTGGAATGTTTTTTTTTCATTTGTTGTAGACATGTGCATATCAGCATTAGTATTTGTATCAATTTTTTTAACACTATCACCAATGTACACAACTATGTAAACAAAATTTAAAAAATGGGACTGAAAATCATTCCATTATCAAAATGTTTGAATCTAAATAAATAGCAAAACATTTATAAGGAATTTCCTATTTGTCCTTTATTTAATCATTGTTGGATTTAATCTGCTCAAATGTGTTCAAACTGTTCATAACTTACGTATTAGATCGGTGGCCTATGCCCTGCTTGCAAGAAAAAAATTTTGCCATTATTTTGTAATAGAAATTCAGATGATTTAAGTTTTTTAAATTGTCCTTTTAGGACAGGTGATCATGGCTCTACAAATTTTTTTATCTGCAAATGACAGATTTGTGCTTTTACCAAGGGCATTTGCATGAAGCTGAAGGGAAGATAGAAATTTGAATTCAACTTGTCAATGTCATTTTAATCAATGATAATTGTGATTTATAGAAAAAGAATCACCAAAGTCTCTACAAATCCTTGAAATTAAACCTAGCTTCTATATTTAAAAAACACGGTGATTCATATTGCTTAAAATTTTTCCCTGCCTGCCATCAGGCCAGAACAATTTTCACTAAATCATGTTGCTATTTGCAAACTTATCTCAATTTCAGTTGCCTTTTATTGCAATTTGTTAATTCTGTAGTTCATTTGCTAACAGTATATAAACCTCCACTTATTTAAAAAAATGCCTGATTACATTACAGGTAGCTAGCAATGGAAACTGGAGTAGAACCCATAGAATTTCCATCCCACAAACACTTAATATCTAGTAACATCAAGTGTCCTCTTGAATTAGATAAAGCATCACCTGATAAAAATCTCTTAAAGCAAGTTGAAAATGTTGAATTACTTTGTTCATCTATGGAGCTCAATTAAAGATGCTCTCCATATGCCAAAGCCTACTTGGTATTGACTTACTGCAGATAAATTGTTTGCATGTCATTATCTTAGTGAACATCACTGCACACCTTTGAGTATTAATGCCCTGTATCCACTGACAAATTAGATTAATATTTATATGATAAAGGAAATTGATACTGTTTTGCTGAGCAGATCAACCCTTAAAATTACCTAAGATCTCTGGGAAAAAGATGAAAATTATGCTCTTTTCCAGTTGCATAAATACATTAGTAAGTAAAGTATACAATATTTGCAAGACCTAAATTAAGGTCAAAGAAGGACTAGCCACAAATCCAACAAACAATGTCAAGTGCAATCAGTATACATTGGGCTCAAGATTATATATATATATATATATATATATATATATATATATATATATATATATATATATATATAAAAAGAGAGGAAAAGAAATACCCCTATCCATGCACAAGATTTTAAGCATTCATAAAATTAAAATATAAAACAAGACTTCCATTTTTTTTTTTTTTTTTTTAACGTTTATTATAATCAATGTCCTGTACCTAAAAAGTAAAAAGACCTTTTTGCTCAAAATACCAGGGAGAAAATTCCCTTAGTAGTTGGCAGCAAATGCCACTAGCACTGATAGGCAAACAACCTGGTACTAATGACAACACAAACACAGCCAACCAGAAATCTGGACACAAAGTCAGGAGAGAGAGAGGGGGAGGGGAAGGGAGTGCTTCAAATCATAAGCTCTTTAACAGCTTCCAAATTAGCTGCCAATAATTTATATTAGATGGGCACAAAAAAAAAAAAAAAAAAAAAAAAAAAAAATGGTTATATCCCCTCCCCATCCCTCAGTTGTAAAAACTTCAATGTGTTTTGAAGGTTTATACAAGAAACAGGACAGTAAATAAAAGAGGTAGTAAGAAATAAGCCATAACTAAAGAAATTAATGGTGGAAAGAAGACATGCATTTTCCCCAGTGATGAAATTTTTTTTTTTTTGCTTGCTTTTGATTTGATTTCAAAGATCTAAAAGTAATGGCTATTTACAATGAGTAATGTTAAAAATAGATAATCCTTCAAAATGATTTCATTACCAGCTGGGTCTCAATTTTTAGAAAGATCTTCAAAAATGCCAAATGGTGAGACCAGGCAGTGGCTGGCAAAGAGGATACATTTTCATACACAAATTATTCCACATTTTATTATTCCTTGGCATCTTTATCATTAATCTGATTAACATCTGCTGGAGAGCCATTCTCCTTAGGTTCTGGTGTTCGAGACTTGGAACGGGACGGGGATGGAGACCTCGACTGCGATTTACTTCTGCTCACGGATCGTGACCGCGGACTATTGGAACGAGATCGGCTCTGGCTTTTGCTCCGACTTTTACTCGGGCTACGGCTGGCAGATTGCCTACTTCGGGACCTCGAACGCGATCTGGATTGCTCGGAGCGGGAACGACTGTGATGGGAGCCAGATCGAGAACGGCTGCGACTGCGGCTTCTCCTTCGTGAGCGGGACCGAGACCTAGACCGGCTTCTTGAGTGTGAGCGGGAACTGCAAAAATTATAAGTTAGTCAATCAAAATTTAGGAAGAACTTTTGAAAATGCACAATTCATGAGTAAAATATTGCCATGTGTACAGAATGACAGCAAATAAAGCCAACGAGGCAAAGAACATACCTGCGTCTACGTTTCCGGGGTCTATCTTCAATCAATCTGATCCGCCTGCCATTGATTTCTGTATCATCCAATTTATCCAAAGCATTTTTCATATCAGAATAAGTAGCAAATTCCACAATACTGAAAAATAATAAAGCAAGCTTGTAGCCCAAACAGATGATTCCAAAGAAAAAAAAAAAAAAAAAAATAGAGGGAAGGGGAAGAACATTACTGACAGTTTATTTTTTTTTTCTTTTTTTTTTTTTACATTTCTGGTGTCAAACAGCATAAGAGGGAAAGGCTAAAAAAAATTTCAACCTAAACTATCTAAAGAAGCCTCTATCTATGCATATGCAGTAAACAGCTTATAAAATAAGTTTAAAAAAATAATTTCAGTAGATGTTCAATGACATCAATAGGTTTATTTCAAGCAGATCATATAAAGACATTGGCTTTCTAGCCAATAACTTTCCCTAATTAGTTGCTCTCAAAACAATTTTTTTCAAATGCTTATAGGGAAATAGCATTTCTTTCAACCAAATCCGGAGCAAAAGTAACTCCGACCTGCAATCCTCAAGAAAAGGCAGAAATGAATTGTCATGATTTTAGACCAGGACCAAAAAATCATTTTGCCATTTATTTAAACAGGCTGCTTAATGCAATTACAGCTAACACCAAAAATTTATAAATTGGATAGGTCGAACAGTTTCACAAAGCAATGAGATCTGGGCCAGGAAAGATTTCCTTGTACAAAATTGACACTTTAGTCAATAAAATAAAGACATCTACAGTTGACTACCAATCAGCACCCACCACCCAAAGTTTCATAAAAATTCTAATCCATAATTTTGCTTACTTTATGAACTATTTTAGTTCTGCTGTGAAATGAGGCAAGATGCAAAAAATAAAAAATTAAAGAGTTTTGTTTAAGAGGAAAAGAAAAGCCAATATATATGGGAAGAATGTCAAACTTTTTGCAAAAATAATATTCAAATAAGGCCAGCATCTGCAGAAAATTAGCATGAAATGAAACAAAGAAAAAGACACTCACATTTTTGTATTTTAGGCAGTAATTTTACCTGCTTTCCTCAAACACCCAGCCAGCAATCTCGTTGTGTGCTAACACATCTGACAAGTCATGGGCTCCTTAACACTGGTGCCTACTTTTACATGCTACAAGACCATAAGCCTAAACCAACTACAACTTTATTCAGGAAAATCCACTGCCAATTGCAACTCCACTCTAAATCAATTTGAGGAAACTTCAAATACAGAATCTTACAATTTCCAAATGCAATAAATATTCAAATTTCAACAATTATTTTTTTTAAATTTAAAAATGTTTTTCAAGCCTAAAAAGTAACCAACAGGTTTTATTCTTTATGCACTCCAGTATAGCTCAATAGTCAAACATTTAGAAAGCAATTTTTTAAAAAATTTAATTATTTTTTTATTATTTAAATACAAGAGCTGCTTCACTGGCTAATTAGTCAATTATTGCGCAATTTGTCTGACAATCAAAGAGGGCCTCATTTCCACCTGATTAGAAGAGGTAGTGGACAGAAAATAGCCCATCCCTAATTAGATAAGGTCACTCCCACCTCTAACATTTCTAGTTGGATCTGTGTCACTGAGGTGGAGGTAGCATCTTACCCAGTCACGGCAGACCTAAAAGTAGTGAAATAAGAAAAAAGTAATCCAAAATAAACTTCTAAATAAAATCAAGCTAACAAAAATAGCTTTGAGAAAAACAATGAAGACTAAAAATTACAAATACGCATTTAAAAAAAAAAAAAAAAAAAAAAAAAAAAATTGTCAAAGCAAATTAGTTTTACTGAAACAGACATGCCCATCTCCTCAAGGTTCAGCTCAATAGTTTTTAAAATTCAGCATTAATGTTACAAAGCAGAGAACAATTAAGCAAAAAGCAGAGTCAATTTCTTCTCCATTAAAATGTTAGAATTTTAATTCTAAACTGAAGAGTTAAATACCAGTAATGCACTTCAGTTTGCATATGGGAGTAATTGAAACTTAAAATCTAAGATCAACTGCTTAACAGCTCTATGATGGATAAATTAGATATGTTTAAGTTTGAAGCAATGGCAATATTTAATCTAGCTAAGTGTTTTTCAACATCAAAGATACAAAAGGTTAATTCATAGCTGTTTTATTTTTTTATTTTTTTTACAATTTCATATTTGATTAAGATTGAGACTATAAGACTGATCGAAAGAATATAAAATTACAATTTATAAAATCTATTTTAGATAACAGTATTAAATTGTATCATGAAATTAGGTAAGAGCCCAAACATGTATTGACAATATCATACTGCAGTACCCCACACCCATGCAGTTTTTATAATACAAAAATAAATCTGAAGTTAATATTTTACCAAAAGGCAATTCAGCTATGTTAGTAAAATAACTTTGTAACTAAATATTTACTAAGCTGAGTGTGGCAACAAGCAAAATCTGAACAGCAATTGACAATAGCCAAGATTAGCTTCACAGAAATTTTAATATTGGGAGAATTTCTATGCACAAATCATGATTATATAACAAGTGAGCAATGGGATTAGAAAATGATTTGCAAATTGAAAACAAAAACAGATCAACAATTAAATTCTACAGTTACATTTAATGCATTTTAACTGACAGTACATATAAAACAAGACATTCTATCATGAAAATTGACTAGCTGAAGTTAAAATTAACTAGTAAACTGCATACATTTTATCAATGTATTATACCATTTGTTACATGCAATTTTTTCCATCAACAAAAATCAAAAGGATACATCAATAACAGCCAGCCAAGAGGAGAAGGACAGGAAGGTAATTTACAATATACTTACCCTTCATTTTTGCGATCCTTGTGGGCATCAGCATAGGTTACTTCTCCAGCCTGCCGCATGTAGTCCTTGAGATCCTTTGAGAAGAGAATAATAATGTTAGTTTTTATCATAACACAGGATTTATAAACATGCATCTTCCAAACATTCAACATATGACACCTGCTGGATATACAATTAGCATGGAATCTAGTGAGAGAAAAAAATTAGTAAAAAAATACATTATGAGATGAATTTTTCTGCCTCTTTACCATCATATTTACAAGTAATTAAAAGCATCTGGCAACAATTTTGTATTTACTGGCAGTAGACATTCCATTCATTGCAGCAGCAGTAATCCAATCAGTAAAACCAGGAACAAAGGGCAAAAAATAAATAAAAAAAAAAAAAAAAAAAAAAAAAGAAAAAAGACAGCCCATGTCACTGTTAGATTACTGAGTTGTTACAAATACCAGGTACACAGGAACAACTTATGGCAGTGGACACAGACCAATGCCATATACAGAAATTGGTGTTTCAACAATAACTGCCAGAAAAGAACGGAGACAAGTACTCAGCCAAATTTAATCTTGAGTTAAAAATTTAGATAATTATATTTACTTATCCAAACATGACTTTGAATTACAGGCATTCAAAAAAATATTAATTCCATCTATAAAACATGATATACAAGTTTTTAAAATACAAGTTTTTAAAATGTTAATGTTCTGAAATCAGACAACCTACTGCCAGATGCTTTATTCTATAAATGTAAAAGTCTAAATGACTAAAACACTGATCACAAAAGATGAGGATTACAATTACCTCTCCTTGTTTTTTGCCATGTTTCTACGTCATTCACTAGCCCTGATAGATTGACCAAGCGACATCTAATGGATGCGAGCAACCCTATTGCCAAAAGGAGAAGCGGCTTGTGCGTGCATGCCCGTCCCACCGCCAAGACGGGAAAGGAGGTAACAAGAGGTAACAAGCTTGCACTGCTGCCCGCCTGTCCACAGCCGCCGAGATTGAGGCGCCCGCTGCCCAGCCGGGCCCAGTTCCGACATCATTGGACTTCCCAGAAAGACCAACCACACATTTCGGGACTTCAGCGGAGTGGAATAACATTAAGTACCAATTGGAAGAGTGGACCAGTGTAAGATAAGCAGAGCCAGTTTCCATAAAAGGTGGTTCTATTCCAAAAGGGAGCCAGCACGTAGGTGGAGGGCAGGCCACCCTCACTTAGTTGGTTAGAAAGGGAGACCTCCAGCCAGCCAGAACTTTAGTGCAACCCCAGTTACATCTGATTGCTTTGAGACCACTGCCCTCACGCACTCATTTAGGACAGGCCAGTTCAACCCAAATAGCGTCTCATCGGCTGTCATCTGTACAAGCTTTCAGGGGAGAGGAAGAGTAGTTATGTCAGATGACAAATTAGTACACAGCAATGCTAAATAAAAATAAAAGGAGCTCAAAGTATTTGCTTACACAATTTTAAAAAAAAAAATACTTAATTCCCAATTATTCACGAGTAATGTTAACTTTAAAAATATAACCTGCTCATCTCCAGTACTTTTAGGAAGTAATAATTTTAAAGTTAAACCAGAATAGTTTGTCAGTTAAGCTATAGGCAACTTTATACCCAACATGTAATTTAGTTAAAAGCTCACTTAATTTCTTTAAATTCACTTAAGATTCATTGAAATAAACAAACACTTCAAGCCCCTTTTCATTAATAACCATAACAAGCATTACAAAGACAAGAGATTCAAAGTTTCTAGTAGAATGCAAGTTATTCTGCCATTTGAATTGAAACTAAATCTGCTCTTGAATTGTGAACAGTTGTACTTTGAACCAATGAATCTCTTGCCAATCAAATGTGGGGTTCCATAGAATTATTTTGAGCCCAATATAAATATTCAATCACTTAAGAATCCCAATTTTAAAGTTTGTACAGCTTAAGATTTTAAAATCCTAGGTTCATCAGCATGCTTTAAGAGCTAACAAAAATCCTATTTTTTTTTTCTAACTTAATTGAAAATTTCAGATAATTCAAATTAATTAAACATGTATAAACCCCAAGTACTAAATGAGCAAACAGGTGGCAACTGGCACAAACTAATACAAATATTTATATTGGGCCAGCTAATGCATTTAAACATTCTATGGTAAAATTGATAGGAAGGGGAAAAGAATAAGCCATGTACCCATTCTAAGAATTCAACTAATTTTTTTTTTTTTTTCAATATAAAAGGGACTTAGGTTAAAAAAAAGAAAAAAAAAAAAAAAAAAAAAAAAAAAAGAAAATGTAGGTTGGTGTGCTGTTCAGCCAGAAGTCCACATCAGCAAAGATTTGTAAAAAGGAGCCATCTTCAGTATTCATTGATGTTGTGAGTTACCCGCCAGAATGTTCATAAAGACAAGTAGACCAGCAGTCAGGAAACCCATCTTGGTAAAAGGAGAGGACAGGGATGGGGAAAACAAAAAACAAACATCTTTCATGCTAATCAATATGCAATTAAATATTTTCCAGTTAAGTCATAAATACTACCTTTGAGTGAGGTACACGGCTATGATTTTGGTCCATCAGATTTAGCATCTGCCTTTTAGAACTTATATGTACTAGGAGAAAGCAGTAGCAGACCCAATTATATAAATGTAAAATAAGCATAATATATAATATACAAGCAATAAAAACTAGATTACAGTAAAAACCTATTTCAGAGTTGGCAAACTGGTACTACATTTGAAGCAATAGCCATCTTAAAGAATATATGTGGCTACTACTATCAAATTTAGTCAATTTGAAATATCCATAATTTTTTAGTTACATACCAAGCTGTATTCAATAGTCAATAGTTAGAAATTATTGAAAGAATTCATTAAAAATCATACCTGCCAGCTCACTCTGGAGGATAAGTTTTCCACAATTAAGCGAAATTCTGTTCTTGTTGGTGGTCCATACCTGCTCAGAAAAGAAGTTTGATTAATGCAATTACATTAGAAAAAAGTTGAAATCACCACATCCACTAAATTAGAAACAGCAACTTCAGTATAAATGTAACTTTTTTTTTTTTTTTTTTTATAAAAACCATCTTCAAACCACATCAGCATTAACAGAGAATGTGCAAAAATTGGAAATTAAAATTGCCAAAAAGTTATTTATATCAGCCTCTTGGAGTAGTTTATTTTATATGGAGATATGAAAAATACAAATTTCAATATTTACACATTTCTGTACCTGCCTATACTACACATTTCTATAAGTCATTTCCAATCACTCAAAGGATTGTGGAAAAAAAGAAAAAACTTACTTGTCTCTTCCACCTCTACGGCGGGGTGGAAACCTTGAGCCCCTATCACGATCGCGCCAGCTTTCTTCACTTCTGGGCAAACCCCGAGCATGTTCAACAATAACCCTGGGAAGGAGAGAAGAGAAAAAAAAAAAAAAAAAAAAAAAAAAAAAGCTTCATGTTTAGAATTTCTAAACTGGAACTGAGGCAATACCTATCAATTTTGTAAGAATTAGAGTCACAAGATATCTATTTTCCATGAATTGCAAAAATCTTAGAATAGAATCTGCAAACAACCTTGTTAAGCTATTAGCATGTATACCTGTCCCCAGAATGTAAAATTCTCAATTGTTTCACTTAGGAACTTGATAAAAACATTAAGCAGTTATTTACTCAGTATTTCTAAAATTCTTTACCAACTGGAACATTAAAAATCAAATTGATCTTTTAAATATGTAAACTAGTATACAGCTAATTACAATTACTAATCTTTCACAAATCATCCTTTTTGTTAGCACTTTTTAATATGCAACTAAACAGATTCATTTCACTAGTGCAAAATTATTTTTAAAACCGTTTTTTTGGGGTTTTTTTTTTTAGACATGGTAGATTATATAAAAAAGAAAAATGGTTATGACTATTTCATTTAAACAACTTATAAAATGTCAGCTAATAAGCTATTCACTTATCCCATTTTAAGCATCTAGAACAAAAAATCAGAGCTGTTCAATGACTTCATAGGAAACATTCAAAACTGAAAACTTAATATGCAAGCCAATCACAAATTAAGTCAGCTTCAACATTAAAATTTGCATTATTTTTAGTAGCTTAATTGGTTCATATTTCAAATTTCAGTTTTGCAGGTGTCAAAAATGGTACAAAAATATTCCACTGTTTGTAAAAATTGAAAGTTTAATCCCAGCAAGTTGCATACTTACCTTTCACCACATAGTTCTTTGCCATTAAGTTCATAGACAGCATCATCTGCATCTCTGTAATCCTCAAATTCCTACAAAATGAAAATCAATCGTACATAAAGTTTAAAAGAGATATGCAATTCAAAGTTAAATAAGATTTAAAGAGGAATAAAGAGCACTTACAACAAACCCGTAGCCATTCTTGAGCATTATATCTCTAATTCGTCCAAATCCTCGGAAAAATCTTTCCACATCTTTCTCTCTGGCATGATAAGAGAGACGACCAATATATACTCTTGTGCCCATCTGCAAATTAAAGTAAACTTAGAACATTAAAATGAAATAAACCCACAAAGTTTCATAAGTTAAGCAGCTTGGTACATCCAAGAACATCAGTTGCAGATAGTTACAAAATGCAAAGAAATATCTTAGAAACTGTCAGAAGTAAACACTAGATTTTACTCTGAATTTAAGCATCAAAAACAAATTTTCAGTATTAAATGGTCCATATTGATTGATAGACTGAGCATTTTAATCATTGTATATCCCATCTCACATGAAGGATTTCATGTGTAAATTCATAAGGTTTACTTATGCTTTTTTTTTTTAGTTTTAATTAGGTTGCCTAAAGCAGCATAACATGAAAAGGCCCCAAATTCAATGAAAACAAAGTTTTGTCATCAAAATGTTTATTAAGAGGAAAGATCAAAGTATTTTATTTTTTGAAATTTTTTACTCCTTGTTTGACAGAGGAAAAAAAAAAAAGGTTTTATTTTGCGCTTTTCCCGAGGAAAACATTGATTTGGAAATTTACGAATCAAATTCGAAAAGCTCATAACAGTCGTTTGAATCCAAATATTTAAAAAATAATTTTAGTGAAAAATACGTTCCTAATTTCTCCCTATGGGAATCTATACATGACAATCCTTATGGTCGCGTGATTTAAGTGTCATCTAACAATGCAATTATTTCACTTTTAATTCAGTTCTATTTCATCAGTAACATCTTTGCAAATCATCCCTTCAAAATACAAGTTTTACTTAATTGCTATTTCGCTAAATATTTTTTATGTATTTTAGTTTGGGTCATAATTCAATTATTTTTTTGTTTAAGTAGGAACGAAATGCAAATTTCATAAAGCTTAAAAACTAAAAGTCAATAAAATATTAAATAATTGCTGAAAATGTTAATTTTCAAATATTACTAGATAGTTAAAAAAAAAAAAAAAAAAAAGTTCACTTAAGTGTTGTCATTTCTGGTCATCCATAAGAGCTGTCATCACCTTAAGTGCTTCTAAAATCAATAAAGATCAAAGACGAAACCCTCGTTAAGAAATGTTTGTATTCAAGGATGCTATAAGTAATATTTAAAATCAGATTAATTTAACTCCAAATCTTCTAATTTGGATCAAATAAAGTGTCTCAAATCAAGTTAATTTTTGAAGAATTTAAAGCCCGATAAGTGGGTTTTACAAATTTCTTAAAAATTAAAATTTTTAAAAAATCGAGCAATTATTCGGCATTCCAATCTATATAGTTTCTATCTGAAATAGACCAGAATTGAAATAAATTTAATCATTTAGCTTTCAATTAAAACTAGAATTAAATCTTCAAGAATGCTTTTTCATTTATAAATTTAATTTTAAAACTTAGGTATTGAAAATTCGGTGGAGGTGCCTAGATGCCAGACTCTTTCTGAACATAGGTGATGATGGCTCTATAGATTTATCATACCACGTCCTTAGAAAGATGGAGTAGTCTCCCGTTGCCTTCGCCACGATTTTGAATTTAGATTTGTTTTTCTCTTCGATTAGCTCTCACCTAAGATTATAGAGCCCGGTCTTGCTATTTAAACCCATAGCTTGTGATAGAGCAGAGACGTAGAAATGGAATCATGCCTATCCCAATAGAATACGTGCAAAGTGAATTCAGACTAGGCCAGAACTAGAACACTATGCGCATATTCCACTTTATGTTCCGATAATCGTTATGCTATACATCCCAGTGATCTTAGACAAAATTATCGATTTTTCGTATTGTTACTTTTTTCTGAACTAAAATCCAAATTAATATTTTTGCAGTTATCGTTCATTTTATCGCTTATTTACGAAAATATTTCATGTAAATGACAAAATTACTTTTGCTAAAAACCACTAAACCTGTTAAAATGACTAGTGCAGTATCATAGCTCCTAAGTTTTAAGAAATTTTAATCTACAATAAATTCTGTTTTATTATTACTGTGTTTATGAAATACCTCAATCTTCGAACAACGTACGGAAATTCTGATTTCGATGCAGTGTCTGAAATTACTTTCTTTGCGACATTCATTAAGTGGCAATAAGCAAAAAGACTAAATTGGGTGGGGGGTCGACTCAGTAAAAAGCAAAGATGAATCTTGACGGTGCCAAATGTAAGCCGAAAAATTTTCACCACTACCACTTTTTCGTAGATTTTTTTAAACTACTTTAAACAAATGAATTATATTCATTAATTCAGTACACAAAAACCTTAAAACTGGTAAAATCTACCGAATGGCTGCTTAGCAAATTCCCGTGACAGAACATTTCAGTGTTAACCATAATACTTTCTAATCAAGATAATTTTCCGATAAGTAAAGTTCAGCGAGAAAGAACTCATACGATAAAAAACTGCTGATTCTTTTTATAGATGACATACTTTGCACTTAAAACTTATCTCCCATGTATTAAAATTTGTGTATAAATTAATTGAACGTCTGAAATCCAGGAAAAAGTTTTAATAAAATTCAAGAATCAATAGTATTAAACAAGGTAAGAAAAAAACCCATGATGATTTGATGTCAAAAACAAGTCACTGAATCCGATTCCACAATTCACCATGCAAACGAAAGATTCGTCGATTTCCACTATGCATCTCGTCCCACCCATTTGCTCAGTGTGTTGCAAATAATGTAACGGCACTTGAAATTATGGAGGTTATGAACTAATGGATGATTTATTTTAAATAGTTTTTTTACTGAGTAAAACGGCTTCAAAAATCATTGTAAATAGGAACACACCCATCGTTGAAATCATACTCCAGAAAGTGACAAAAATATACAGGTCCGGTGTCGCCTGAAATGTAAATTACAAGTCAGCTTAACAAGCAGTTTTGATTGGCTACAAAAGCAAATACGCTCCAAATCGACATCTTCAAAGTGGGAATAATTATGAAAGTAAAAAGTCTCCATCTTACCTACCAACTATTTGTAAAAATTGACGTTCCACAAACTTAGTTACTTTTTCATCAAAAAGATAAGATTTACAATTTTACTGTGTACACTGTAAGTAAAATGTTAAACTGGACCATCTCTTTTGGTTTTGATGTTCTTATTTCATTATTCGATATTGTACATATTTCGAAACACTGAAGCGTAAAAACCCAAAATGATTAGTTTTTTTTTTTTTTTTAAGAGCTAGCTCAGTTCATGGTGCTTTCAAAGGTTATGAACTCATTTTAAAATTACATGAACTTGGATAAATACCATGTTAAAATCCAAAACAAACCGATATGGATGACAAAACTAGTTTTCTTCATGAGTTCAAGCTACATTAACACGAAACCGTAAGCTTTATAAACTACATTTTATTTCTTTATTCTGGGGAAAAGATGTCCAAGCCAATCAATTTTATTATAACACTGATGTTGGGGGACGCTTCTTCACAAAAAGTACCAAAAACATTTTAAGTGTTTCGGAGAAATATTGATTTGTTTTTTAATCTATTAAATTGAAAACTAATGTGTAGATTTGTCAAAATAAGAATTTTTGTCCATCGTTGTCAGTTACAACTAAGTTTACGTTTGTAATTAAAAGAACTTGCGTGAAGATTTCCTTTTTTTTTTTAAATGCTAAAAAGTTTGTTCAAAACATTGTGCAGTTTTTTAGTTGATTTATGCCGACTTAAAAAAAAATCCCAAATTTGTAGAAAAGTATCGAATTTGAAAGAATGCTAAAAAAAAAAAATGTATGGGTAATTATTAGGAGAGGAAAGCTAAGACAATTTTAGTCACGTGGCTACATTATATACTGTATATACGGCTACATCAAACTGGACAAGAGTTATCGTCAATAAAAATTCACTTTACTGCTCTTCGTTATATTGGGGAATAGAAGAGACCTACTAAAAGTAGGGCGACAGATTTTTAAGGCAAAGACTTTCCAACCAATGAGATCGTCAACTTTTAAGAGACACAGTAGCAGCACTTGCAAGAGATTCGGTTTCATTTCATAGTGTATAGTCAGAAATAAAGTCATTTAGGTTTTTAAATAAATTTCCAAACCGGTTTAATAAATTAAAACGAGTGAAATTTTTCTAGTAGGATCATTTATATATCAGGAAATTACATTTTGAAAAGTTACAAACGACTCAAAACGGTTGGTAGCAATATTTAATTCTCAGTAATAAGTTAGTAAATTCATAAAAAAACATCCGTCTTCGAACTAGTTCATAAATGCAAAGATTTTAAAAAATTTTGTATTAATATTTACAGGAAGTTCAACTAAAACTAATATTTGCGAGTTTGGGGCTAATTTAAGCTAGGTAAATATTACATAAAGAATTATTTCACACGGGCTTTTGTAAATTTTGATCGTAGATATCAAAAGAAAATTGAAATATGCGAAAATTTCAGGTTACCCAAAATTTTCAATACGGTTTTCGTTTTAGAACAATTTCTTGCCCACGTGTAGATTAAAAGCGACATGCTTAAGAGTAGGTATTAATTAAATTTTATATTTTAAAAAACCCAAGACAAAGTATTATAGTATTTAAAAGTAATTAAATGAATAACGTAAAGGAAAAAATGCTAGATAAAAAAAATTTAAAAAAATGTGATAGCAGCCATATTAGTGACATTATTAATTCTTAGAAGTAGGCTATATTCTGATCGGGGGATGAATTCACAATATCGATAAAATGAAATCGATAAGCAAGGGTATATAATACAGATGAAAAAAAATGGGATGCACTAAGAAAATCGTGACATTCTAAACGGAAATTGAGTATTATAAGTTTCAGTTAAATAGAAATACTTTCAGCAGACATGCATATATATATATATATATATATATATATATATATATATATAAAGTGTGTGTGTGTGTGTATATATATATATATATATATATATATATAAAAAGTGTGTGTGTGTATAAATTATTTTACAAAATGAAGGCAATGGGTGATTTAACAGTAAGTCAATGAAAGCGGGAAAGAAATAAAGCTAACACATGGCTATTATTCAGTTCACCATATTAACAGCCTGCTTTCTCAATACTAAATTATTCTTCGTTAAAGAAAAAGCTTTCTCACATAAAGTAAAGAAAGACAGTAACACAATGCTATCGAAATAATAGTACAGACCATTTTTTAAATAGATTCTATACCGAAGCACTTGGTCTTAAGAAATGGAGAATTCTTTTTATGTTAAAACCAGGCCTTCGTTAATTGGACTATTTCGTTTAAAATACAGAACAAGGATTGTTTATCAATAAAACAAGAAAAGGTTCTGTATCAAACAATACTTACGTTAATTTTTTTTTTCCACTTATCTTATATGTTGCAACCAATCTGAGTTTAAAGTCTCCAAAAAACTGAAAAGACGTACTAAAGCGCCGTCTGATTATATATGGCGTCAGTTTATCTGTGGGGTCCTCACTCATCAGAACACGGATTCGTTTAAAAGTAAAAAGTGTATGAATAAATCATTTTTACGATTTGAAGTATTATTTCAAGTTTATTTCAAATTTGCATGTGAAAATTCTATTATATATTGAAAAATAAAGACGCACAGTTTTTATAAAATCTTATTTTAATTGAACATTCAAGTTTCCGTATATGACGTCACAAAATAATGTTGGAGGCTTATTCGGAAGTAATCGGCGGTTCAAAGCTAGTGGTTACTGTTTACTACGCACGCTATTTTTTTAATAATAATAATAATAATTATTATTATTTTATATAATTAAATTCCAAACCTACATAATTTTCACTAAGATTCATTAAAAATTTTTTTTAAGGGTGGTGTTGAAGTAGTCAGTTTTTACTTTTTATTTTTATATCGAGTTATTTTTTTTTTTTTTATCGAATTACAAGTATATGAAATCATTTTTTGTAATGTTAAATGAAATATATTTTTGCATTATGCATATTTGAAATAAAAGTTTTAAAAACCTTAAATTTAAAATACTTTCAATTTTGGTTAAAAGTTGGTGATTAATATTAATTCATAATGTATCTTGTGTCAGACTAGGAGAGCGCTTCCTCTTTCTTTTTTAATGAAAATGAATTATTTACTGTCTTTAAATTAAAATTGCTAACTAACAATATTTCAAATAATAAATGATTTAAATGTAAAAACTGCTTCAATCAACTGAATGAATCAGATTTAGTTTCGCTTTTAAAACATATTTAACTGAAGTATAACTTACTGGAAAAAATAAAATTACTCTTCCTCAAAGCTATCATAAACTTACTAATATATTTCTATTTTTTAATGTTTTTGTCAAACAATTATTCAATATCACTATTTCGTGGAAAATATATAATTTTAGATACATAATATTCATGTAATATAAATTTTGTATATATAGAGGGCAACAAGCAGAAAACGAATATATTAATAAAATTAATTAATTCTAAAACTATATTTTAAATGAATTATTATTCAAAATTAAAATATAAAGTTTTACACATCACCAGTAAAAATGGCGGGAAATTTCCCCTTAAAAAATATAAAAATAAAATAAAAACAATAAATCGGATTTTTATTTCACTTTTTCCAGTTATTATCGATTTTAACACATTTGATTATTTTGATACGAGAAATCACCAAATAAAACAATTTTGCATAAAAACAAGTTTAGGAAAACAACATTTTTAAAAAGTTGTAATATAATGGCTCTCGTTCCGAGTGTTCGTTCGTGTGTTTCCGTAATCACGAATAATGGCGGGAGCCCCCCCGCGAAGCAAGAGGAAAGTCATGAGTGAGGTTTTATTCGCCGCGACCAGACATTACCCTGGAACGCACTCAGTTCGCCATATTGGGACTTGTTATTCTAGCAACATCGCTCTCGATGCAGATAGACTTTACAGGGAGGAATCGACTACGAAGGTAGGATTTTTTTCTTTTCTCTTTTTCTTTCTCCCTCCTTAAGTTCCATATGATCGTTGTTTGTAAGTGTGTTGTCATACATAAGACTGGGGGCTCGTTTTAAAAGTGTTGTTAAAAATGTTCGTTGTAGGATTTTTTATGAATTTACAGAAGAAAAAGATTAATAATGAAATAAATCATGAGTTTAGTTTCTCTTTTTGTTAAGAGCTGGCGGAGATTTTATTTTTTACAATGATTATAAAATAATGATATCACTGTTAAAGTATATTATTTACTATATAGCTTCTCGTACTTGTATAACTAATTGAACTTATACTATACTGCACAAAGATTTTTTTTAAATAAAAAAAACTGGTTCAAACCTCACTTTCTTCTTTTTTTAAGATCAGACAAGTAATTATTTTTAATTTGTTAGACGATTATGTTTTTAAAGTAATGTGTTTATGTTACTTTTTTTTTTTTTTTTAATTTTATTTTTACACAATGAAGTTAAGGATCATTTCTTAGAGTACTTATTTTTTTGATAGAATGACAGTTATTAATCATTAATATTTGTTTTATATACCTCATGTTCATAGGATGACTGGTTTATTAATTTACTACTTTATTAACGTTAGTTAGATTGTCAAGTCAAAGAAAAAAATAAACACAATTCAATATCACAGCAAATATAAACAATGATCAGGACCTCTATTAAAATTATATAGTAGAAACAGCTGTCGAAGATTTGTGTCTAATTTTGTAGAATTCAAATGTTAACAAAAGTCTTGTTCTTTTATAACTTATATATTATGCCATACTGCATCGTAGATCATTAGGTTGAGGCCCATTCAAAAATATATATTTACTAGGAAATAATATTTGTTAAAAATAAAATGTAAAAAAGTAATTCCTTATTTTTATTTTAACTAACTAAAGTATATAAAGAAACTTCAGAATTTGTCAGTTGATAAATGAAGCAAATAATTACAACTGTATCCTCACAAACTTGAAAAATTAATAAAGAAAGGCTGAAAGCAATAACAAAGCTAAGTGCTTTTTTTGCTTCTATTTTGAAAGGGTATCTTTAGCTCGGGTAGGTCCACCTTGTTTGGGTGGGGGGGGCAATTGAAACGTATGAATATGTTAATGTATTTTTGACCCGATGATTTATTTATCAAATTCTGTGTTGATAAATTAAACAATTCGATTTTATTATCTTTTTTTTTTTTTTTCTTTTTGCAAATGCTATAAAAATGAAATAATTTTTCAAGGTCTGAGTGGATTTAATTTAATTTCGTAAGTTATACACAGATTTTGCATTTTTGACTTGGTACTATTAATTAAATAGTGCCTCAAACAAAAGTACTAAGTTTTTTCCCAGGCTCTGCGATAATGATGCACATGTATTTAACAGGATTTCTACTTATTGTAAACACCACAAGGTCGATGTTTGCTTCTCAAAAAATGTTTTATATTAATTTTTGTCTTCGTAATATTTAGCTTAAAATAATTCACAATTTAAATTGAAAGATCTGTGTTATTATTATTATTATCCCCCCCCCCGTGTATGTGTGTGTGACTGTAATTTTACAATAATTGAAAAAAAGAAAAAATGTGACATTAAAGTTCACTGTTTTAAAAAAATCTTGACACGGATGTTTAAAAAGTGAGGAGTAGTCAGTAAAGGTATATTTTTTCTTTTTGATTTTGTTTTCATTATTTGAAATGAAATTTGTTAGTTTAAATTGCTGTGGATGTTTCTCTCTCTCTCTCTCTCTCTCTCTCTACTATGCTATGTTACAATTACATTTTTTTTAACCTTTGCAATTTGTGTTATTGAAAGAAAATCGATCATTATTTTTTCTATGATAGACACTTGTTAGTTCTGAAAACTAGTTTTTTTCCAAATAAAATAATTTAATGAACAGTAAATTATAAAAAATTTTTTAAAAACTATAAAAATGCTTAGGAACTTATCTGGAAGATCAAAAAATTTAAAATAATTGATTCAAATCGCTTGGAAACAAAAGACCTGTAATTGTAAATTAAAATATAAATTTTCGTTTAAAAAATACTAATTTTTAAAATAAACTGAAACTAAAACAAAAAGATAATTTGGGGGTTGGGCAATTAAAAAAAAAAGTTCATTCTCTCAATTTTATTTTTATACCAAGCTTAGATAATGACCATTTTATTTACAATACAGTTTTTTTTTTTTTTTTTTTTACCTGAAAGCTAAAATAAACAGCAAGACTTTTTTTTTTTATTATTTCATTTGCTTATTAACAATTTTTAAAATAAAAGTCCTCTATTGACATAAATGAAGCAAACATTTTTTTCTTTTTTTTTTAATTCTAAGAATTTTCGTTTCACGAAAACTCGAGAATTGGAAATATTATTCGATATTTGAGAATAACAACTGATCGATCTGGTTTGAACCACCAATAACTTTTTATTAACGTTGTTGGGAACTAATGAAAATGGGGATCAATTCTAGTCTAAAAGCTTATCTTTTTAAATTAAAAACTGTTAGCATTTTTATTTTTCACATTTCCTATGAAAATGAAAACGTAATTTTAAAATTTACAATTCCATTTGTTGACAATTCGATATTGTATTAATTTTTAACAATTTAAAAAAAAAAGAATATGGATTTTAGACACGATTAAGAAAATATTGCTTTAATTTTAATTTTTGTTTACTTTCGTCACGAAATTGTCAAATGCAAAAAAAAAAAAAACTTAGCAAAACAAAAAATCACACACCTTTGATTTTCACAAAAAAAAAAAAAAAATTGTGCTAACAGAAATATTCAAATCTTGAATATTTTAAAATAATTGGTATCAAATAACCAGTCAGTTTTTTCATCTTTTATTTATCATTTTTTATTAATTTTAATTGCTGGTATCAGTTCAAATATTTTTTGTTGTAGATATTTATTTATTTATTTTTTTAATAATGTGATTTTAAAATTTAAATAAATTCACATGTTATTTTGTGCTAAATTAATTTTTATGAATTTAATGTTGAGAAAATTTAGTTCATTCGATTTCAAGACAAGCTTCTAATCTTTGTAAACAAAAATGTTTTTTTTCTTTTTTTCATGATTTGTTTACATAAATTTAAAAATTAAAAAGCTAGACTTAAAATATAAAAGATGCTATTTCGTTTGTTCACTTTTTAGTTCCCCTAAAAATATAATTTATTTTTCTCTCATCATATTCAAACTCTGTTCAGAAAAAATGTTTGATTTCTTTTCCTATCACGGTAAATATTGATTTTTTTTTTTTTTTTTTTTTAGTAAGTTTTGTTTTTGTTGTATATTTTTGTAGCTGTAGCAATTTTCCTGCGTCAAGTAAAAATAACAATGTTTATTTTAATTTTTAAAAAAATATGTAACTAACACTACTAAAGAGAAAAGTTAAAACACTCTTTTCAAAATAATTTTTTTTCTTTCCAAATTGACATTTGATATTAGAATTTGTGGTAAGAGAAATTATTTTGACCTTTGTGTGCATAAATTTTAAAAAATTGTCTTGCTAAATAACTTTGCATAACATAGCACATACAAGAAGAAGAATGTTTTTGTTCAAATTCTATGCTTTCATTTTGGGCGATGGAATATTGAAACGACCAGTAGAACTTAGTTACTCAATCTACTAAAGTTGCATTACCATTTTTCCACCCACTTTTCCTAATTAGTATATATATATATATATATATATATATATATATATATATATATATATAATTTCCACATGTGTGCCAATGTCTATCAAACTTTTTATTTTGTCAAGTAGTTTGTGATATCATCATCATTATTAACATTAACTGTTGTTATTGATTCGTTTATGATATCCAGTCCATATTTACTGCTGTAGTGTAAATATTTAAAAATAATAAAATTTTAACTATAATTATGCAATTTTTAATATAGTGTATTGCATATTTCAGTAAAATATAGTACCTTTCATATTTTTTGCTTACTTGTTACAAATATCCCTAGACTTCCATTTTTGCAAACACACTATCTTTTGTTAGTTCTGTTTTCACACAAATTTGAAAATTAATTAGCTGTGTGTTTTTAGGCAAAGCACACATAATAATTACTGCTCAGACATAGAATCATTCTGTTCTCACATTGATTCATTAATTCTATTTTTTTTAATGCACTGATTCACCTCGAAAAATACTTAATATTTTTAGACTGTTATTGACTTGAAACGTTGTAACTTGGATTTTTTATGTGTTGTTCTTTGGCTCTTTTTCTGATGTTATGGTTCTTCCATATCCTTTCATATTTTAGTTTTGTCTATATTCTTGTTATTTGGGCCGGTAATAATTTTTCATGGTTGTAGAATGATTCCTGAGGCTGTTTTATCCATTATGGCAAAGTCTCTCCCTGACTAGGGTCTACTTTGTTCTTTTTGCAATTGTTCTTGCTTTTCAAAGTTTTCATACTTGGCTTTAGATCTTTACCTCTTCTGTGGAATGTTGGATATGAATGCCAAATTTAGTTTGAACCTTTCTAAAAAAAAAAAAAAAAATTAGAACTGATTCAAAAGCATTAATATAATCATCTCAGAAATATGTATATTCTACATTCATTTGTATTTAACTTTTAGGGATAGAGAAAAATACTTATAGCATGCCAAACAAAGAAATTAAGTACATTTTCAGATTAATCTAAAATAAAGTATGAAAGGTAGCATCCTTACATATATACTAGAGACCATCTGATTTGTTAAATATAGTATCCACTCTTAAGATAATAACATGATTGAAAGTAATAAGAATGTGTGGATATGTACATCTCTCCCCTGAAAAACTTTGGTTTATTTCTAATTAACTTTGTATAGTGGCTATGGTTTTTACCAAACTTTTCATA